CGAACAAACCACGCTGCGGGAAGTTGGTTGCCACAATGGTCCATTTCTACTCTTACGAATGACTGCAATCCACTTCTCTCTTAGATCTTGATCTCGATTAGGAAATCTTAAAAAGAACGTATATTAAATAATGTGTATTACATCCCAAAAAATTTATACGAATACATAAAGAAAAAAGATGTTTCGTGTAATTGTTTATCCATGCATTACAATATTCGAATAATATAAAAGTATGCCACACAATGTATATAATAAAATAACGTTACGTTATATTTCACGCTACCCAACAAAAGGGTAAAACTGTAACGAATAATCATGGCAACATTTCGTTCAGGTTTTGTTTATAAAGCGACAACCTCAAATTTGATTTTGATTAATTGAAAATAGCAGTTTATAACTTTACTTACGTATGAAATGTGATTCCATCCTGTTTTTTATTCTTGGAAGATTGGTTTTTACACGTTTTCACTACACAATTCGGCATTTTCTCTAATAAATATTGTTATTTATTATAACGTCTAACTCCGCGCGTCGGGATAGCTCGACTGAGAAGCCAAGGCGTAGTTTCGTTGCATGTGTGTGCGTGTAACTGTGTATGTACACGGCGAGGCGTAGTTTTATCGGCTTCACTTTTTGGTTCGGCAGACTCCGTCTATACTTTTAATTTGGTCTGAGATCAACTCAAAATGGCAAAGTTAAGCTTTCATTGACTGGAATTTATAGTCCAGCGTTTTGCAACATACGGAACATTGTTTATCAATGTTCCGTATGTTGCAAAACGCTGCAAATTTAATAGATGTTACAAATTGATAGGAACAACTTAATTCCAAATTTGCAGCGTGTTACTATTTTTTTTACCCTTGTTATTAACAAATTTCATTGTTTTTTTAATAATAAACAATGTTCCGTATATTGCAAAACACTGCAAATTTAATACACGTTAGAAAACGATAAAAACAACCTTATTCTAAATTTGCAGCGTGTTACTAATTTTTTTGGCAATTTTATTAACAAAAAACACTTTTCACCCCTTTTCAACCCTTTCCGTATAACCCAGAACGCTGCAAAATCACCCGGTAAGTTTTTTACCTTCTTTCGAAAACCCTCAAAATTTCAGCAAGTTACTAATTATTTCCGGGTTTAAGGCTTTAATGACTGGCCTAGTAGTGGAATTCCGCAGTCGATATTTATCATGATCAGATTACATACTTTTACACAAAGATACATTTTCCCCATTGCATTCATAATATGGATAAAATTTTAATAAAACAAAATATTGATTAAATAAACAATTTACTACACATAATGTAGGTTCACAATAAAAATATTTTCTAACGGAGGTATGTCACATTGTCTGATGCAGACCTAGCCACGCCAGTCCTAGAGTGACTCCAACTAAAACCATCTTAATTTAAATAACTCATTGTTATTATTACATTGTGATCATAATTATAAATAAACATAAATAAATAAAATTCTCTCTTTAAATGCATTATTACCACTATCATATGCTAATTTGGCATTCCGGAATGTTGAATCCATCCACTTGATCTTCGTTTATAAAAATGAAAGTTAAAAAATGCTAATTTTATGCGAATTTTGGCTTGATTATTCTGCAATCTACAGTACTTAAGCTTATAACACGCAGGTATATAAACTTTGTTATTAATTTAACCAAAAAAAATTTTCATAGGTAGCTGATTGAATAATTTCTAAATACACAATCACAAAAAAACTCTCTTCTTAGAGAATATATACTAAACCCATGCAACTACGCATTACAAAGGTATTATCACAATAGATAGAATGATTTCATCAAGAAACAAACAACTAACCTATAATACTGCTCAAACTATTACATTACAATTTTAATTAATTTCATTAAAATCAATGACTTTAGTGCAGTAAAATTCAATTGACTAGCATCTAATAGTTATCGTGACAATATTCCAATATTACGAGGTACTGTACTGTATACATATTACACTGCTTCAACTAGGAATATGAAATGATTCTAAAAGAAAACCATAACTTAACATTCATAATTATAATTGATAGAGCAGCAAACTAACACTGTTATTATCTAATTTAGGCATCATAAGTATTTTGCTAACAATGTCGATATCCGTATATATATTACACATTACTTCTAAACTATTGCATTCAAACTATACTACGCTCAAGGGTTTCCAAAAGTAATCTATAGAGTAAAATATGTATATACAAACAACGCCACGGCTCACCCTGTTGCCTCCTTCAAACGATTTTACATTGCTGATTTTATTTGGATGTCGCTATTATCCATGCCTATGAAAAATTATTTGCTTCATTAAAACATAACAACTATAAATGATATTAAAATTATGGCAACAAATGGAACTATGATAATACAAAATATTTAATAACTAAATCTGCATCAGACACAAAAATTTTTTTTCTCAAATAAAATTTGCATTGATTGACATATATAAATGTACACAACATACAAAAAGTCATTCTGGCCATGCCATAATAAGTCGACTATGGAGTAAACATTCAAACAAAATTCCATGTGAATTCTTGGACATTGAACATGCTTTTAAAATTTATCTAAATATTGCCTTTACATCTATTGTTATATTAATCACCACACCTAAATGTTGTTAGAAAAGTATTGCCTCTAAGTATCATTATGAAAAGAGATTTTTTAATAGATCTACTTACAATGGTTTCTATTTTATTTATAATTAATCATGAATTTATTATTGTAATAGTTTGGAACACAACATGTGCAGATACATAATTTAAGTACCATAGAATATTATACAGTTAGGTATATCTTTTCCATTTTCTTTACAAATAAAGGAACTATTTCATTGTGAAATATATTATAGTCGCACAAGAGAGCCACCGGATACAACACAAAACAAATGTGATACAATATTCATATTTCATGTGCAATAGTCAGAGGTGTAACCAAAGTGCTAGAATTCCTAAATGTTAAATTACAAATCGATTAAATTGAAGCTTCTATAATTATACGCACAACGAACAATTCAATCGCTGGTTCATGATTGAGATATATCCTAATATATACGTCGACCTGCCGACGTCATTATGATTTTTATTGTTTTTAATTAATAATAATTATTTTGATCTATTGCACAAACACATAAAGGTAATCCACTATACTTATCTACTCAATTTTATAAGTTAATAATTTTTACAAATACCTACTACAAAGTTAAATACGACATCCAGAACGTCACATTGATAATTACAAAATTTAATCGAGTGCGAATGATTACAAAAATGATGTTTTATCCACAATCGAAAAATCAGTACATTAATACTTACCGCACAGTGACTTCGCGTTGACGCATTGAGTGTTCTAGCTAAATGGGTCATAATCACACTACATGGGAACATAGGTCACCTGCCACTAGCACTTTTTCTATTCCTTCCATTTAGAAGGCAAAGTCAATCCACAGAGCACAGTTCTTGGTAAATTTCTTTAATAAAATGTGGGTCTAACATATTCAAATGGGTTTCAGAATATTTGACACCAAATACATTGAGTAAACTTTTTATCATTGAGTTCAGAGTTGGTTAACAAAATCTTTGCTTCTGCCTCCCAAAGTTCAGGCAACAAAATTTTCTGCACAATTCAGACATGAAACAAATTGCAGTATATTTAACAACAAACATTTTGAAGTTCGCGATAGACAATAAATAAAAGCTTATGAAGTAGTAATTTTATATAGAAGAACATCCCTTGTGGAGGTTTCGTTGCCCAATAACTATGGGCCAGGATGGTTGAACACCACCAATACTGCTTTATTGAAATCAAGATGTCTGCTGCTAATTGGAATACATTAACTCGAATGATAATGGTATCAAAAACTCATCACAAGCATCCATGCATTGGTCACTGTTGTATTCTTTTGGAATGGTCCAGCAGCGAGAGACCCTTCCTTCCAATGAATAAGGCCAATTTACACTATCAAAGCCACATTAACTCAATAAGTTGTGCTTGCAATCTATATTGAATAAGATCAATTACATTTTACTAGCACTATCACCTGGTGATGTTGGATCACCCCAAGAGAATACGACATGACCCTTCACTAACAGTTTCATAGTCACTTCATTTGACAAGTAGGGCAGCACTCTTAGAACGCTCCAAAAGAATACAATAATGGGGTCAACAACCCTTCACAAGCATGCTACACTATCATGCTGTGATACGACCATTCAAAGAGTACACTTTCCGTCAAACACTAATAGGGTCACTTTCACTAGCACTGTTCATTTAACAATTTGCGGTAACTCGTATCTCTCAGTACTCTTGAAGCCCTTCAAAAATCATTTGGGTTAATGAACTAACACTAAAACTGTTCTCTTGAAAATATGCGTTGAAGAGCTTCAAAACGGCCTGGGTCAACGATCCTTCACCATCACTGTTTACTTAGGATTCGCACGCAAAGTGCTCTTGGAGCGTTCCAAGAGTACATTATAAAAATGGGGGTCAACAATCCTTAACTACTTCCCTAGAATTGTTCATTTGACGAATTACGCGCGCGTTACTCTCGTACCGTTCCGAGAGCACATTTTAGGGTTTCACTAGCACTGTTCACTTAGCGATTCGCTCGCGCAATTGATGAGTCCAAGATTTTGTAGGAATTGGGTCAACAATCCTTCACTAGTACTGTTCACTTGTCGTATCGCGCGCGCTGCTCTTGGTGCGTTCCTAGAAATCATAGCACAGAGTTTACAAGAATAGGGTCGTTGACCCTCGCCTATCGTGTCAGTGTATTCACTTGATGAGCTGCGTTGCGCTCTTGGTGCGTTCCAAGAGAATATTACAGGATTTCACTAGCACTGTTCACTTGTCCAATCGCTCGCGTGTGGGATCGTTGACCCCCGCCTATCGCGTCAGTGTTCATTCACTTGATGAGTTGCGCAGCGCTCTTGGAGCGGCGGAACATCTTCGCGCCCTTATTGGGCGCGGTAAGCTCGTGCTAGTTGGCCCCGTTGGGGGCTCTCGGAGGCGCAGGTGAGGCGACAGGCGGAGGGCGAGCTAAGCCGGCCTCCTTCGCGCCGTCGGTGCCGTAGATCTTGCCCGCCTTCTTGGCCATTGAGGCGAGTAATTCCTGTGAGCACTTGTGTGCGGAACGCAGCGATAACGCCCACTCTTTGAGGCCTATCTCGTCCTGCGGGCAAAGTAATGATTAGTATCCTACTACTTGTTTCTTAGGTTTTCACGCACATCTCTCAGTAAATAAAACTAGTTTTTACGGGTTAATGCACGAAACTTTATTTATTTATTGACGTTTTGTAGCCTTTACTGGCTTCGTCGTCAGAATAAAACTTTTATTTAATTTGTCGAGCTACCTTCGAAAGACTTTTATTAAGCGTTTCGAAGGTAGCTCGACAAATTAAGTTAGTTTTATTTAGTATCCTACTATCTTTGTTGGTTGCTCGATCACGCTAAAACGGCTAAACAGATTTGGGTGAAAGTTTGGCACACATACAGTTTATGACCTGCAATGACACATAGGATATTTTTTTATCTCCGAAAATTATTAGGTTCAAAAATTATCAACTACAGATAATATTGAATAGAATAGAATGGATTAAACAATTTAAAGTAAATTTTCTTTTAAAACAAGTTTTTATTTAAATTTCCTTTAAATCTTTTATTACCTAAGTAGATAAACAATATTTCATCTGAATGATTTTATTTTTAAATTTTCATATTGTAACTACCAGAACTGACCTAAATCTAGCGACAAGCTTTTATATTATATAAATTGTGTAATGTTGATGTTTAGTAAAAGTTTTTAATGAAATTTTTATTTAATTCTTTTGAGCGCATTTAAATAAATGCTTGATTTTAAAAATGTCTTTTACTTTCAATTTCTTTTTTACTTTTTAGTTATGTAAAAAGTCAATGGACATAATCGAGAACTTTAAAACCCCTATATTCTCAGGTAGTCTTTTTATTTGATACCCATATTGTAGGAAAGCTTCAAAAACTTAGGCCGCCATGTTTTAATGTCCGCGATATTGGATTTAAGGTGACATCCCTTTGTTTCTCGAGTTATTTTCATTTAATACACTTATTGTAGAAAAGCACAAAAAACTTAGTCTGGCGTGTTTTAAAATCAGCCATATTGGATTTAAGGTAACGTCATTTTATTTTTCGAATTAGTCTTAGCAAGCCCTTTCATTTGATACCCATATTTTAGGAGTGCATCAAAAAAAAACTAATCCGCCATCTTGTATGTTACGTCATATTTGATTTAGAATGACGTCACACAACTTACCCTGCATTATCATTCAAACTAAAAGTGTGTACAAAATTTCAGCTCAATCGAATGAAGACATCTGCTTCAAAATTGAGTTGCAAGATTCTGCCCAAACAAACATACATTACAAGTTAATTAAAAGCCTTTTATAATATAGGAGCTATTGTAGATTGTGGGCAATAGACTAGCAGCAATCTGTCAGATATAACTGGAAAATAATCCTAAACCAAAGCAATGCCAAGTGTGCCAATACTAATTTCATCTTACTCTTATTTAAAATATAAAGAAAGTTCAAGTAGATTTTGATGCAATTTAAAATCATCGTTTCTCTTATTTTTAACAAGTTAGTCCTTCAAGCAGGACTACATAATAGAAAAAACTAGCGAGCCTTACAGTAGTCGCGTATGATGTAACATTTGAAACCTCACCTTATATTAGTAAGAAAATAAATAAAACCTACTACAAAAGGAATAAGCCATTTAAACATAGCGCGCACTTCCCAAACTTCCTGTAACACACTTCCGTCCCACTTGACCTAACCACTCCCACAAATTGCACGAAAGCGAGAGGAAAGATGTTAGACATACAACATTAACAACAATAATTACCGTATTGGTGAGTACGATTTTCGTATCATTCCGCGTGCGCAGTACGATACACTGCTCGCCTTTGACTGACACGAAATCCGAAGAGACCTCTTCCAATGTATCCAGTAATATCATCTCGGGCTTGGCACTGTTCTCTAAGTGTAGCTCTAGGCGATTCGGATACAATTTGGCGTAACGCGTTTGCCACGCGCTAGCGAATGGACCGCCTAGCTTCTTGATGTATCCGTGCAATATACAATCGGATTCTGAAAAGAAATGTTATGTTATAATTTAATACTTGTAAAGGTATTAATTTTACATTGTGGTTTACCTACAATGCGAAGAGATGGATGGCCCTGCCTTGCAGCCTAAGGCTAGAGAAAAAATCGTCAGGGCCGCGGTAGCATAATGGTCAGTGCATTCGCCCGGATAGCGAAGGGTGCGGGTTCGAGTCCCGTCTGTTGCCCTGGTCCGCGTGTTTTTTTTTTCTAGTTAACTTTTCTTTAGATTTAAACATCTAGCAGTTAAATGCTTAAAAATAAAAACATAAAGAAATGTTATGGTTTAGCATCAAATTATATACCTGCGATGACAGGTACTCGTCTTTCCGAGCAAACAAATTATACAAACAAAGATATCACTTTATAAATTTTAATAATGAAGATGCGAGGAGAAAACATTATAAATTGGAATTCAAAATCAAAATCTTTTTTTTTTTTCAACATAAGCCTTTACAGGCACTTATTGACATCTTATTGAATATGTACATACATCCGTACAAACATACATAATAAGGCACGAAATAAAACATAATACCTATATAAAATTCATTAGTTAATAGAAGTGAATTTGAGCATAGCCACTTATCACGACCTCTTAAACTGTATAACCATAACACAAATCAGTTAATTTTTTATGTAAAACAAATACACAGAGCATGGTTTTATTGCACTATAGATTTAGAGGTCACTTTATTCATTATTGCATTGTTTCCGTATAAAATTATCTGTGTTTGCTTGCCTTAAAAAATAAATTTGAGATTACGCAAGTTTCTAGGAGTGGTCCAGTTCAGTTATATTTAACAATACTCTGGTCACGAACCGACTATTCTGTCATTGGCCGGATTGTATTACAGTTGCGGAGCTGGCGAACAACACACATAAGAAAAGGGGCTGCTTTTCATATGTGTGATGCAGTTTTTCAGCGATTCCGGTTGAAGAATGTGTGATAAAGACAGCGTCCCACTAACTAGTTACAATAAAAAAAGAGTTGTCTTACGATCGCATTCAGAGAAGGCATTTAACTTTAAAGTATAAATTGATGCTACCACTTTATTTGCAATAACAAAAGACTGAGACGCGCGGCTTCTTCTTCTTTCTTAATGACTAAACTCTGTTTATTGCAAAATTCTACCAATTTCACGTAGTTAACCACTAAATGACAGTAATTATAAATAGAAAAATAAAATACAAAAAGAGGAAAGGATCTCGATGGCACAAGTGGTTAGCGCGTTCGGCTGCGATCGTTGAAGTTAAGCAACTTTCGTATTGGTAGTGTTGCCCAAATGCAAGAACAAGACGAGACTTAGCCAGTCTTGGTCTTGCGCCACTACACCTGGTCTTGGTCTTGCGCTCCCAGTTTTGTCTTGGTCTTGGTCTTGCAAGTCTTGCAATTACCTTTTAGACTATTGCTATTTATTAAAATTTACTTTAGATCTTAGAAAAACGTATTAGAATTGGAACATTTGTGTGCTTGAATTAACATAGCCATAGTAAAGACCAATCAGATTAAGAAATGTCTGAAGATTTCATAAGAAATTCGAAAAATCAACTGCCACATGATGATCAACTGAGCTATATGCCGTTTTCCATGGGAGTAATTTCTTCTTAATAAACATTTACACTTTATAAGCTTACATGTGCTAAAACATGTAAAAAAACAAATTAATTACAATAAGTTCACTGTATTTTAAAGAACAATATCTGTCTAGAAAGAGATTGAACCCTCAACTTATATGAAATTTAATAAAAGAGTTTTACGATTTATCATTTCAATAAAAAATAAAACACAACACAAATCAAATAACATAACAGTACACAACAGCTTTGTCATTAGGTTCTGTAACTTTATATCAATTCTTTTGACCAAGAATTAATACATATTAACCATCTGGCTGACTCATCACTTAACCTATTTCTATGTATTCTAATGTATTAGCGTTAGTAGGACGGCACGACACAAAATTAAAATTTTGCATGAGTATACCTAGGTCCTGTGGCGGCAATCAAATAGTGTCAAATGTTGTGATTTCGGCGCGGCGACAACGATTGTTTTATGTGATTTCATTAGAAGCCGCCGGCGCGTGTATCATCACCATGTACTTCCGAAAAGCGGCAAATTTCTTTGAGAAGTTAGTACAAAACCTTTGATGCCACATTATCAAAGTGCCGATGGTTAAAACAAAAGTATGCATGCACTCTGCTTGATTTTAAATGGATATTTTTTTATTCGCTATGTAATTTTATGGTATTGGTCGTAATGCGCATAGGTCCAGTATTTCATATTCTTTGATACAGTTTTTTGCGTCTCATAGAATTCCTAAGCGTACCTATACACCGAACTGTTATACCTAACTACTCCGTGAAATAGCGCAAGTCCTAGCTGCAAGACCCAAGAGTCTTGCCGGATTAGTCTTGATCTTGCTCAAGTCTTGCACGGTCAGTCTTGGTCTTGGTCTTGCTAAAAATACGCGGTCTTGTTCTTGGTCTTGGTCTTGCAAAAATGCAAGAACAAGACCAAGACTGAATTTGGGCAACACTACGTACTGGTCGGTCATTGGATGGGTGAGCAAAAATTTACTATCTCTAGTTCCTGCGTAATTCGGAAGGCGAGTTAAGCCGTTGGTCCCGACTGCATCTGCAGTCGTTAGCACCCACCAATCCGCACTGGGTTGCATGGTGGTTTATGGCCCAATCTCCCTATTTCATCCATTGGGAAAGCCTGTGCCCCAGCAGTGGGGTCATTAATAGGCTGATGCTGTGATGTGTAAGTAAGACTGGCAGTTTAGTGATGTAGTTTCATCATAGAGGTATAAAAATAGAGTGGGGAAGGCGGCTCTAAAAGTGTCCGTCTAGTAGAAAGAGAAAGAAGAGAAACTGCTATCTATCTCTCTCTCTTGTGACGCATGGCATCCAATGGCATCACATCGAAATAGTAAGATGCTTACGGTTGCCAATGCGCATGCGCGATTAGAGAGAGATAGCTAGCGGTCTCTCATCTTCTTTCTCTTTCTATTAGAGGGATACTTCCACTTGTAGTTGAGTCTATATCTCACCTACTCTATTCTTATACCTCTATGAGTTTCATACTCCACATATAGATAACATTATTGCTCGAGCCTCAAAAACTCTAGGATTCATTATGAGAAACGCCAAAGTATTCAGAAATCCCTCAACAAAGGTCTTGATTTATAACAGCTTTGTTAGTCTCCTCAGTACAGTATACATCAGCTTCGTATTGAACACATTCAGAAACGCTTTACTAGACATCTCACATTCAGTAGTAGGCCGAATACAAAATCTACCAACTACAGCCAAAGATTTCAGTATTTTAATATGGACAGTCTTCTCACTAGGAGAAATGTTTTGGATATCACATTTTTATTTAAAGTTGTCAGAAATGTAGTTGATTGGCCACAATTTCTCAGTAAGATAAATATTAGAGTTCCTAGTAAACCACCACAATATCCTGTACCAACATTCAGCAAACCAATCGCTCGCACAAACATATTAACACACTCTGCATCATATCGCTTGCCCGAAGCTTACAACAAACTGAGTGAGTGTTGATATCTTCCATGACTCTTTTCTACGATTCAGGACTAGAGTTTCCGAGTTATTAAGAGATGCGTAGGCAAAATTTATTTTTATTTTTGTCTTTAAATTTGTTATATCGAATAATTATATATATTCGTTTTCTAATGTCTATAGTTTCAAAGCCACTTAGTTCATAAACTTCATTATTTACATGTGGTTTCAGTTTGTGTTTCTGTTTTTTTATTTAATTAAAATTCGGTCCGTTCGTACTGTCTCTTAAGCATGATGTGGCTACCTTCAATAGAATTTTGCATTTTGTATGTATCACTATAATGTTTAAAAATAAGATTTAATGTAACTTTCTCTGGTGGTCCTAATAAATAAATAAATAAATACCTTTCTCATCGGCGTCGAACTTCTGCTTCTGCTTGGCCTTCTTCTTCTGCTCCATCTTGTCTGCCTCCTGGTTTATGGTCTCGAACACTGTCTCCGCGACCTCAGACTGCCAGCGTTCCGATATCACCAGCGGAAAGTCTTTGTATTGCATCTGATCGGCTTCCGTGAGCTGAGGCATTAAGACTCATTTAATTATAACACGAAAAAACACAAATGAGGTACCAGCGAACAAAACGCCTAAAATAATTACATAAAATTAAATTTTACAGGAGCTGTATAAAACTGAATGACATCCCTCCAGTGAGTTTTTGGTATGGTTTTAAATTTATAAATTTAGTAATTTTAACATTGTTTTAGGCGGTTCGATTTAAATTATTTGTGATTCAAATTCAACGGGCCCGAAACCTTCAGACTGTAAAAAAAAAGTAGTTTGACCAGACGCATAATTATTTATTGGGGCACAGTGCAGTTAATATAGTATCTAGGCGTCCCTCTATGTGTCTCTGACCTCTGTCTATAATGCGTACAAAGACGGACTTAATGCCGTAGGCATTCTCTAACCGTCAACCAAAGGATGTTGTGGATAAATAGTGGTAGGGTGCACAACTTAGATGGAAATTACAGAAAAAAGAAACAGATATAAATATGTAGTACTCATATATATAATTACACACACATAAAAAGTACCTACACATAAATAACTATACGTATATAGTCACACATATACATATATACAAACATACATATTATATTAACATACATAATAATGACGACTAACGTTGAAGCTAGACTGTATGTTCCTGTAAAAAGCTTCGTGACTTGGTTTTGAAGCTAATTTTGCTGGTGGACATTAAATTAAGGTGCTAATTAAAAGTACTAACAAAATAACCGAAAATGTTTTAACAGTAGGTACATACTTTGATGCCCTTGGTGTCCTCCTCGTCGAAGCTGCCGATGTCGAACGCGTCGGCCGCGTTGACCTCCCCCCGCGGGGGGATCAGCGGCGGGGTGTACTTCTGATGGTATACTTGCTGCCAATCGATGCCCGCGAAGAAGACGTGCTCTTTGACTTCGTCCGCACTGTGGATTTATAGGAAAATCTAGTTTGACACTTTAACCGGTTGGGACCTCATCACCATAGCAAGTTTTATTTTTTCCTCTATCTTAAAGATTTATGGATTACATGTGCGTAGCGAAAACTTAAAAGTTTAGAAAATAAAGCAAAAATGTACGAATTATAATAAAAAAATTACATCTCGATTCCTTTTTTAATGACTCGAGTTTTAATATCTCCTCAGACTGAAATCTAACAACTCTAATGTGCTAAGTAATAAAGTAGATATTCACCCTCGTCCCTTGCAGCCGAGCCGCTTGTTGATGTCCCTCTGCAGCAGCCCCTCCAGCAGACTCTTCAGACTCGGGCTGAACGACTCCGGCAGCTCCACGTTCTGAAACACATTGTAATTCTATTGCAGACGTGACTCCATCTTTGATTTAAAGACAACAATTAAAAAGAATGAATGATTTATTTAAACATTTGAAGCGCTTCACGTGGCTATTTGTATTTGCTATTTGTACACATGACAACAGTCCCTCCTTTTCGCTCTCTATAGTGTATGGATAAGGACAATCTCCTGTCAAAACGACAAATAGCAAATACGAATAGCGATGTGACGTGCTAGTATAAATTTTTAAAAAAATATGTGTCTAATGGCCATACTCAAATACATCAATTGACTTATAGATTTAAAATTTGATGCTACTAATTTATTAGTGACACTAATAGAATAAGACAAAACATGCTTTAAAAAAAGCATAATATTTTATTCACACCTCTGAGTGCGCCATTAATATTAAGCTATACCCTGTTCACGGAAATAAATTTGTGGAGCGCTTTCTTTATCACACAATCGCTTACATTACATTACAAGGATGGCAACGACGAAAATAGAAACCGGTCAATGTTAGAAGTTTAGCTTATCTTATTTTCGTGAACAGAGTTTATACTAAAATATCATAAAAAATAAATATCATTATATAATAGTGATCAGATAAAAACTATTTAGATGGACAAAATAGGCTGTTTGACAAGTTATTGAAACGTATATATATTAACTAAAAATAACATAATTAAAATTTCAGGCTCCGCCAATCCTAGGCATTTTCGGTCACTTGACAATAGATCAACTTCTTTTTTCTTGCAGAGAAGTGAAATAGCCTCTTATATTCATGTTCAATACACATGCCAACGATTGGTACTTTATTTTTCGAACTGTCAAATAGCCTATTTTAAAAAAGGTATCTAAAAATATATGGTGCTATTCTTTTCTTATTGGTAAGAACCATATTATTTCATTAATCAAATTAAGCCTATCAAATATAAAGCTTTAAAATGAATCGTGAAATATGAATGAAGTATTTAAAATTGTAAAAAATATAAAAAAGCATAACATAATATAAAAGAGTCAATGCGTCAGCTACGATACCTTCCGATCTTAATAATCAGTGTTACGCTAATGTCATTAATGAACGAATAATGGCCAAACCAACGAATAAGAAATAATATGGAATAAAAACTGCGCTAAAAGTGTTTCCACGGAAACTGCGATCAAGTGGGCGGGGCGAAAAAACTGCGATCAACGCGGCGATCATGGTTGATGATTCGTTGGGATTTTCGTTTAACATTATCTTTATGTTTTTATTTATTTTTTTAAGCATTTAACTGCTAGATGTTTAAATCTAAAGAAAGTTTACTAGAAAAAAAAACCACGCGGACCAGGCAGGGGACAGGACTCGAACCCGCATCCTTCGCTATCCGGGCGAATGCACTGACCATTATGCTACCACGGCCCTATTCGCCGCGTCGAAATTTTCCTAGCCTTAAGCTGCAAGGCAGCGCCATCTCTTCGCATTGTAGGTAAACCACAATGTCAAATTAATACTTTTTCAAGTATTAAACATTTGAAAGAAGAAATAGCAATTATTGTTATGTTTTTATTTATTTTTTTAAGCATTTAACTGCTAGATGTTTAAATCTAAAGAAAAGTTTACTAGAAAAAAAAAACCACGCGGACCAGGCAGGGGACAGGACTCGAACCCGCATCCTTCGCTATCCGGGCGAATGCACTGACCATTATGCTACCACGGCCCTATTCGCCGCGTCGAAATTTTCCTAGCCTTAAGCTGCAAGGCAGCGCCATCTCTTCGCATTGTAGGTAACCCACAATGTCCAATGAATACTTTTTCAAGTATTAAACATTTGAAACAAGAAATAGCAATTATAGTTATGATTTTTTTTCTAGTAAACTTTTCTTTAGATTTAAACATCTAGCAGTTAAATGCTTAAAAAAATAAATAAAGACATAACTATAATTGCTATTTCTTCTTTGAAATGTTTAATACTTGAAAAAGTATTCATTTGACATTGTGGGTTACCTACAATGCGAAGAGATGGCGCTGCCTTGCAGCTTAAGGATAGGAAAATTTCGACGCGGCGAATAGGGCCGTGGTAACATAATGGTCAGTGCATTCGCCCGGATAGCGAAGGATGCGGGTTCGAGTCCCGTCCGCTGCCTGGAACGCATGGATTTTTTTCTAGTAAACTTTTCTTTAGATTTAAACATTATCTTACCCAATAAACGGATAGCCGAATTCATTTGCAGATATTTGATTTGTCAAAGTATTTTGTTTTGTCTGTTTGTGTGTCATGCCAGTGAATAAATGGCCAGTTAGTATTGCAGTTTAGTTGTATTAGTTTGGAACCGTGTTTTAGCGGCCTTTGTTGTAGGTAATGCTTCCATATCATTCTAATTCGTTGAGCAAAACAGAAAAAAAGTCTTAGGCGAATTTTTAACTTTTTGATCGGTTTATTCTAGAAAGACACTTTTCAGCCATCGTTATCATTAACGTCGCTATTTCTGATTTGTTTGCACAATCATTAACGGCTTAAGGTTCTTGAGATAAAAGCAATGTGTATTTACATTTTAGAGAGGTGTGTCAGAGTCAGTGCTTTGAAACGAGATGGAATATTACATATTACACGAACATTAGTAAGAGTGTTACTCATTATAGGAGTGACTAACCAAACCTCGCCCCGTTTGGTATTGGCTGAACTCAAATTGTTGTATTGAGAACACATTTACTGGTAATCTGTTGATATATTTTACTATCTATGCGGAAAATCTAAATTTTATAAATGTAAAAGTATATGAAAAACGGATAAATGGATTTGGATGAAATATGGAACTCTTATGCAGTATTACTACACAAGCGGATGCCTGTATGCGGTCTTTGGTTGCGATGCTTTGACTCTGAGAAATGTTTGAAAGGACATCTATCTATAAGAAATGTAAATAAATATTTACCATGGTGAGCGTCATGCGGTCGATCTCATGCTTGTCCTTGGTCTTGTGCTGGCGGAACGGCGAATGGCCCTTGAGTAGTTTGTACAGCATGCAGCCGAAGCTGAACCAGTCAGCCGACGAGTCGTAGCCGGTGCCTTTGGAGAGGACCTCGGGCGCCATGTAGCCGTGGGTACCGCTACAAGGAACAATAAACTTTATTAAGACCACAATAAGAAGCATTATGTCTCACAATTAGGGGCGTATTTACCATAGGGCCAAAAGGGCCAGGATGACAGTCTGCGTGGGGCAGCAGAAGCCATATTAGGGTGCAAATCTTATTGTATCATTCTAGCTGAATCAGTCGGCGGAGGAGTCGTAGCTGGTGCCTTTCGAGGACCTCGGCCTCCATCTAACCGTGGGTACCGCTACAAGGGACAATTAATAATAATACTTTATTTTGTCCGGAATAAGTAGGATTATGTCTTACAATCGCTGGCGTATTTAGACCAAAACCTTAGAGGGAAAAGGGCCACGCCCCCGGGGCGCAGATACCCGTTATTAGAGTGCAAATTTAAAGAGGTCAGGGCGTACCATTTGACGATAGTCAAAATGAGGACATAATATGATAGTAACAGTAACTGTCCAAGAGAGGCCGGTTAAAGTTATAGTAAAATTTAACTTAAACTAGCTCTGTGGTGCAAGTCACAGTTAATTGCACCCCAATAAATGGGTGGCCGAATTCTTTTGCAGAGATATATTTCGGCAAAGTATTTTGTTTTGTTTGTGTGCGACATTTTAGTATTGAACTTCAGTTTTTTTTTTGAGTGTGTATGCTGTTGGTCGCTAATGACCTTTACAGCGTCACCGGGTTTGGGGACGGTGAGATCCTAAGGGGACCTCAAGCCATTTCAGTGGTATGAGTTTGGGACCATGTTTTAGCGCCCAACTAGCACAAATCGGTTGCATATAGGCTTTGGAGCGTATCTAATTGTAACTCATAGTTGCTAAAGGCGAGGTCTATATACTGCTGTAGACCCCTAAATCAACCGATATGGCACTAAGTGGGCACATCGCATAACAAGTCTGGAGCGTAACCAATTGTGCCTGAAGGTGCAAATAGCAGCTCTCATAGCCCTTAATTGGCACGTTAAAAAATGAACGGTTGAGTGAACGAGATTGAATTCGTTCATTTCAAATGTCATTTTTTTACGCTTTGATATATTTATTAATCTACGCAACTTACGAGCAATGGTGAATCGTGTGACAGTTAAGTGACATCTACGAAACAATAAAATGTAAGTGCTAATAATTTTCATTTTACATTTCTAAATAAACTGCAGTGATAAATTAAGTGGGGACATAGTTTTACTGACAAAAGTGTATGTGTTTTATATGTGAATTTTCACGCGCCATCTGTATAATGAGACTTTTGACCAAAAATAATCTAAATAAAAAACATTTAAAATAGTTTTGACAAAATTTGATAAGAGAAAAGTGATATTACAAGTATTTATTATACTTTGACTAGGCATAGTTTTAAAATTTGTTTATCAGTTATCAAATCAAACGTAGTTAGTATAAAATATGTAAATAAACATTCGTTTTTATCAAACCTTCCCGTTAAAAGATGGCGAGACGAAATGTATTTTTTAGTTATAATTTTAACCAGTTTGCTTCCTCTATAAAGACAAAAGTGCTAAAAATTACTTTTTTATTACTATGTGTTTTAATCAAGGGCCATTTGAGTAAAATTAATAACCTTTAGTTACAATTTGCTTTCTTTTAGATATGCAACACAACCAGATAAGGGATCAGTTGGCAATAACAAAAACCCTTGTTCTGAGTTCTGAGTTGTATATAACATATACATAGGTGTATAACTCAGAAAAACATCGGAAAAGTACAATTTGGTATTCATTTTTGTTCGTAAATCCCGATAGATATTTAGGTATTGAGTGATACTTGCAAAGTGAAAAAAAAAGTTTTTGAAAATTGTAATGAATGAATAAAAATCTTACTCATTTGCGTCTCGAGTAAATAACATAGTTGATTAATTGATTTTAGCATCAAAAAAAAATCATAATCATTTTACCATTTTTTGAAGTGAAACTTCTTTATCGACGTTGGAAAAAAATTTACCGTCACATTTTTCGGTTACGCGTCACATTTTTCCGTTACGCGCCATCTTTTTTTATATTAATAGTTGATAGCTGAATGATCACACTGTCGCCGGCAAGAACTCTCTCTACTCGTTTGTAGCTGAGTGACAATAGTTATTAAAGATAAGACTCGCTCAGCCAAACTCGCATAGCGATACTCGCTCAGCGATACTCGCTCAGCGGTACTCGCTCAGCGATACTCGCTCAGCGGTACTCGCTCAGCGATACTCGCTCAGCGATACTCGCTCAGCGATACTCGCTCAGCGATACTCGCTCAGCGATACTAGCTCAGCGATACTCGCTCAGCTATACTCGCTCGGTTAAGCTGGCTTGGCTGTCAAAAGCCGTGCGCGTGCATTTTAACTCAGGACTGCCAATTCGTTTCTAGTTTCTACTCGCTTATCGTTCATCGTCGGAGGTGGAACATGTGCCTTAGATTACTGAGCCGTGTAATCATAATAGTTTCATAGGCAGTAATTTGTATTCATGTCTATGATAATAAAATCCTTTTGTTTAAACTTTATCTAATTTAACTTTATTTAACCAATTTCTGGAAAGTTGCATGTAGATCATTTTTCGAAAAATAAGGCCATAAAGAAGTTTCACTTCTTACATGTGTACACTAGTACACGCACACATTTTTTTTTTATATTTTTGCCAGCAGAACTAGAAGTATAACTTTTTCCATCGCCTGGTATCCTTAACGTTGAGTTTCAGGACACTATTAAATGCATTAAATCCGATATTGAATATTGATATAATGTAATTCTGAATCGATATTGGTAAACGGCGATATTACTCACCTCACCACTATCATTTTGCAATATACGAGAACATTCTTTATTTTTTACAGATGCCACTTAAAATCGTGCAAACGATCGAACACGGAAAGCCACAGCTTTCGATTTGTCCTTCGCAATGGAAATCAGGAGGGCTACTAAGTTGGCCAAAAAAGAAAGGCTGCAAAGAAATTCAGAATCGTAGACTTAACGCCTCAACCACACTGGCCACAGACTGACAGTCGGCTATTTGTTGTGAAACAACTTTTCCCAAAAAGACAATACTTACCATCATATGTGTGATAATTTGTTAATTGAATTTTAAATAAAAGTCATATATATATTAAAACTGTATTTAATTTCCAACTCGCCCAAAAATTATACCGTGTGCAGTAACGGTAATAAATATAATTGTGATTGGTACTCTATGCCAAATAATTTACACTTTACATCCTCAGGAAAACGTATATTATATTCTGAATCTGATTCTCTTCTTAGGTTGCACTTAAACATGTTTAATATTGATGACAATATAGGTAGATTAAAAATGTTCTCTTTGTTGGTAATCTGAACGCAATTTATACAAATCTTATCTTCCTGGGTTGTGATGGATTTTATTTTCATTATTTCTTTACTATTAGTCAAAAAGTATCTGTCAGTGGATTTAGCAGATAATACGAAACCCTTTAAATGTAAAACGAACATTTGATTCTTCTTATTTTTTTTAAATATGGATACTGTTCATTAGATATTTCATTAATTTGATGTAGTTCTATATCATCGATCTCGCCAAGCCTTTTAGCAACCCGTGAAAGTGGCTTATTGCCTTGCCGCAACATTCTTTTTATAACATGCAATTTGTTTTCGTACTGATAAGCGTCAAAACTTTGCAATTGGCCAAACCGCCGTACTTCATCGACAACGTGACATAAGGTTTGAATGTTGCTCGTGATATGATCGGTACCATAGAATACTTTATAATTTTTAATAAAATGTATTAACAAATTCTTAGACAACGGCAGCAATTCGAAATAACTGTCGTTTGAACATATCGTTATAGCGCAAAACAATGTTAAAAAATGACTCATCACATCTTGATTTAGTACCTTCTGCAGTATAACCTCACTTAAGTACAAAAAAAATGTTCTAAATTCCGAGCCCTTCCAATGACTTAGATGATCAAGATTTCTTACGGATCTATGTATCTCTTTAGGGGTTTTACATTCATTAAAAAAAAAATTACGAGCGCCATTTCGAGTCTTTTTTGATAAAATTTCCATCCCGCCAACCGACAAGTAATCTCTTCATTATTCCTAAATCTACTAAATGTAAAGCATCAGCCACTGGGAAGGCTTCAATCATATCGATTGGAAGGTTTAATTTGTAAAATTGGTTCACATCTTTAGGTTTTCCAAGTCCAGCATAAATTCCAACAATAAAAGGTTTGACTTCAGGTTTTTCAAAAATACTACATAATATGGGCCAAAATTGTTGTTTCGAACTATTACATACTGGTAAACCGTCTATATTAAAACTAAGGGACAATTCATCTTGACCTACACAGCTTTTTAGAATTTTTGTAAGGGGTTGAATAAGCCCATTGTGCCAATAATTTCCAGGTTCAACAATAGTGGTAATAATATTTCTAGGTAGGTAGGTAGGTAGGTATTCATAATTGCTCTTGGATCATTAGGAAGTAGATTTGCTGTTCTTTCATTTATTATAAGAGCTAGCGATCTCAGAGCCATATGATTAATGTTATACTGTTGCGCCCAAGACTTTATTTTGTATCTAAAGTCAACAACATTTGTAATATTTGCCACATTATTATCTATTTTTTCTGCCATTTGAATACTGTAGTTATCTTCACTAAAATCACAGAACCTGCTGTAGCACAAAATGTTTATGGACATTAGGTAACGTACAATAATTAAACTAGTAAAAACACTTTCTCCAAAAACGTAATTTTAACAAAACAACAAAATCACATGTATTAAGATAAAAAGTTGCACTTTATTTGATCTTTTTCCATAAATTGATTATTAAATGATTGATAATATTAACACAGAAATTGTAACATTTTATTTCTAAGTCTAGTCTGATGATAAAAAGTATAATTATTATACTTTTTATGACGAAGCAAGCTCATTATCTCATTATATATAACCTTTCAAAGCTGAAATCAGGGGTAACTTCTTTAATATCGAATTTAGTATTTTCTACGGAACCCTCCTTTTCATCCTCTAAAACTTGTATTGTCGTTGGTTCATCAGTTGGCTTACTGTAACAGGTCAACATACGCCACATTATGAAAAAGGTTTTTAATTTATATCAGAACTTTTGCTGTGTAAATCGTATGCTTACATATTCAATTAAAATATGATTTACTTATCAGGGTTGAGATCTCGTGCAGAATTGGTATCAGAGACATCAAGATGATTAATTCTTTTGTAAGTTTTTAAAACTTTCCGCCTATAGCCACCACTTCGTTTAAGGTTTATCCATTGGCAACTATCCATGTTTGACGTTACGAATAATTAAAAAGTAATTAACTGACGCAATACAATACGAGTACTAAAGCATGATATGATACAAACACAAACTCTTTAACACTTTACACTACTACTCTTTTGCGATTATTAGGTACAAAAAAGGGAGTATTAGATTTCGTTAATTACCTATAGTGGCACAAACATTACTTTTTTCACCCATATACATACTTCAGTATTCAAATAGTTGATTTTGCATCCTTTAGACTATGTTTGCATAATAGTAATTATTGCTTGTCTTTTGCGGCTATTGGATATATAACGGGTATAATAAGACATTGTTTACGATTACAAGTAGCATGTTTAACACTAATGCGGCTTTGAGTGGTAAAATGGCTGCAAAGTCCGCGGCTTTATTCCTCTAAGTGTTTTCAAATTAAAATAAACAACCGAGAGTTCATTTTGTACACTTAACTCATATTTTCCACTCCAAAGCAGCAGAACGCTGCTTTTGCCACCCATATAGCGTCTTTAAAGACCTTATAGTTATAAACTTAGCTACAATTATCCCTTATGTGCTAGTTGGGCGGCCTTTGTTAAAGAGTTTTATACTTCCATGTCATTTCTAAATCGCTGTTTAAATGCCTTACGGCAGCAACTGTGATATTCAGTAGAACTTATAAGATTTTTCTATTACATTTATTTTGTGTTTAATAAATAATAAACTCAGTAAATACATAAATAAAGTTTTATGTTTTTCAGATCCTGATGCAGGTGCGGATGCTTTGTTGGAGTTATTAAATTCGAAATACACATAAATATAAAAACAAAAATAATTCCTAACTGCCTAACTGTGTGCAGCACACAAGACTCCAGTACTCATATTGAAAATTACTTTTAAGCGCTTTAGAAATTATTGTACCGACTTAATAAAAAACTGAAACATGAATAAAATGGGAGAAAAATAGAAACCACTTTGAAACATTCAAAGAATCTCTGGAACATAATTAATGAAATAACTCAATTTAAAAAGCTCCAAAAACGTCTAGCTCTGTTCTTATTCGTCTATACAACCTCTACAAACAATCAATAATAATTATCAGTTCTTCGTTAGTATTGGCAAGACATTAGCAGAAGAAATAACTCTAAATTATAATTCACAGCAATACAGTCAAAATAATGTTGATTGTCAAGTTTATTCATTTGTATTGCTTGATGCTGATCCGCAAGAAGTTAATGACCTTCTTATGGGATGGGATGGAATGGAATATCGGCACAATTACTGAGTTATCGGCAGAGATTTTGTGGTCTCACTAATAAGTGACCACAAAATCTCTGCAGCTTTTTAGTGTAATAACACAACTAGCCAATCTATATTTCCACACCGGTGTGTTTCCTTTTTAAGCTTAAAGTTTTTAAGCGTTCCGTTGTAACTCCTTTTTTAAGAGTGGTTAACAATTACCGACCTATCTCTGTACTTACTAGTATTTCTAAAATAATAAGCCGGGTACTCATTTGCGAGCTGTAACCGTAACATGCGTGATACAGTACGAGGTTCTAGTGTGTACGCTTGTAGGTCAGTTGTAAAAGTCAGCTCGCTGCAAACCGCACGCGTACCGCTCGCAGTAGGTTAGCGAACCGCGTACACACTATGCTTTTTAGTTACAGTGCATGCAACGATTACGGTTAGAGCTAGCTCATGAAAAACTATTAAATAATAGACTCTTGAACTATTTAACGAATAATGAAATATTATCAAGTTCTCAGTACTGTTTCAGGCGGGGAATATGGATGTGGATGGATGGGGGATGTTCGAGGCCCCGGTACACTATGTGCCGTTTGTGCATGTATCTGAGTGAATACGGCCCATACAGCAGATAAGACTTACACGCTAGCATGTGGTTGCTTCTTTGCGAAGTCGTAGGAGAGCCCGAGGTCAGATATGATAATGTTCGCTGGCTTCAGGTCCCGGTACACTATGTGCCGCTTGTGCATGTATATGAGGTGAGTACGCACCATACAGCAAATAAGACTTACACGCAAGCATGTGGTTTCTTCTTGGAGAAGTCGCAGGCGAGCCCGAGGTCGGATATTCGCACGTGGCCGTGCTCGTCCAGTAGGATGTTCACTGGCTTTAGGTCCCGGTACACTAGGTGCCGCTTGTGCATATATGTGAGGTGAGTACGCGCCATACAGCAAATAAGACTTACACGCTAGCATGTGGTTTCTTCTTGGAGAAGTCGCAGGCGAGTCCGAGGTCGGATATTCGCACGTGGCCGTGCTCGTCCAGTAGGATGTTCGCTGGCTTCAGGTCCCGGTACACTATGTGGCGCTTGTGCATGTGCTCCAAACCTGCAAACAAATAAAAATAAGGCTTATTTCTGCTGTTCTATTTATAGTCTCACTGTCTGAATAACTCACTTATTTTCACTGACTCCCGAAGCTGTTTACAAGCTCTAAGTTCAAACCAATTTCGGTCTAAATTCCCGATTGTATTAAAAATTAGAAAAGCATTGTTGAAATGCCATCTAAACGGAACAAACGTAGCCCTATGCTAGATCCCTGGTCGTAATGGTATTCCTGACAACGAAACTGCTGACACTTGTGCTAAACACGTCATTTCTTCTGGCCTCCCGAAGTACTCTAGGGTCTTCTACAGACTTGTATCCCGTAACGCGTGAGCTTTTACTTAAATCATGGGAAACTCACTGGCTTCAGACTAAAGATCGTGTTGGTAAATACAACTTCGATATACAGCAGAATATTCCATCCAAACCATGGTTTTTCAAGGTGAACAATCTCAATAAAAACGTATGTTTATGTTTTGACAAGGAGATAGGAGGAATATGATAAGTATCAATATCATAGTTTTTATTTTAAAGTGACAATCTTACTTCATTTGGTTATGATTTCCAAAAAATAAAACTAATCTTAATTTCCCAGTACGTCGTCAGGGTCGACTAAGAGGTTTTATAGAATATTGGGCAAAGACCTGGAAACCAATCTTAACCCATTTTGAATATGCTAAAGTAACCTTAGACGATTTAGTGATCACACGACTCCTCGGCGAATACGGACGTGAATTTTCCTTCTAACATACAATTTTTTACTGCCTTTATTTCAGGTGAGAAAAGAAGAAGGTCTGACTGACCGTTGATAAATTACCACGCATAATTATTGTTGATAATTCGTCAAAACGCCATTTACTACCTATTTGATTTCGTTTCGTCGCTTGCGTCAAATCGAAACGAAACAACTAACTTTCATTCGATTGAACTAAAGCCAAACTGCGTTCGAAGAGTATAATTACGTGATGCAATTGACACCGAAGGAGATGTAGCTAATAGTGATCGGTTGACCATTCTCCCACCGAGGCATGCACAGTGGTAGTCTGCTTCATTATTAACACGAGCAAGATGCAATGACATAAATGTTCGTCGTTACGATGAGTGAGCTAGATCTATTAATTGCTTCGCGATTTATTATTCTAAGATGGGATCGGTAGAACTCCGAAGACACATTTTTTTAATATAATTGAATTAGGCTACTATTCATAAGAAATCTGACACTGGGGTAGCAGTTGCTTCTTCTGGAATAACGGCTATATAGTTAGAAAAAAATGTAGATAGATCAAGTAATTCGGGGGGCGGTATGATTTTACTGTCTAAAGATTTTCGCCAAATAATGACAGTTAATCTAAGATAGACAAATGCCAATAAAATAAGGGCTTGCCAGCTTGCCTCTAGCAATCAATTTGTGGAGCCACGTAATAAATTTTCTGCTGGCAGTAAATATGAGAGTTACATTGCTGCACGATCAATCTACAGAAGATTCCTGCAAACAATCGCTTACTATTGAAAAAGCTGTGTTCCTATCAAACAAAAAGCTTTTATTTCTTCCAAATTATTGTAAGTGGTACGAAGTTTTCCGAGTCAGTTAGTATTACATAATTATACATCAGTTATGACTAACATATAGTGTCGAAAAGTGATATTTACAATATTTATTCTGTTATCGCACGGACTTAATTGAAGTCGCGGTTCGCGAAACGCTTTTAACCGTTTTACAAACAAGAAACAAACCGACAGGCAGTTTTTCTTAACCGATGTTTAACCGATGAAATCGATGTTTAATATTCTTTATCAATCTATTAATATGGTGTTCAATGTGCGCAAGAAAAGTTTTATTAATAATTTAGGTTAGTATTGAAGTCATTCGACCTTCGATTTCATAATTCACACAGTTTTTCTATATCCTAAAAAAAAGGTTTATTGTATGAACTACGTCACAAGCGGCATTTTAAATTATTGTTTCGAAATGTCAAATTTTACATTTTTATTGATTTGTCGTCATGAGGTTAATGTAGAATAGAAGTCAAATAGATCGATACTACCTATAGTTTAACCAGTTCGGCGTACATCTTTACAGCAAAGATGGAATTCAAATGTCAAAATTTCATAAACTGCATTGACGTAGTAACGTGGTAAAGAAAGACCCTCGGGTCATTATTCTTGTTTTTGACTGTTAAAAAAAATATTTTCGATGATTCCAAGACTTACCTAAGATGACTTCAGCGGCATAGAATTTCATTTCCGCCTCGTTGAAGACGCCATGCTGCGACAGGTGATAGTGAAGGTCACCACCGTTCATCAGGTCCAGAATAAAACATAATTTGTCCGGCGTGTGAAATGCGTATGTCATGCATACGATGAACGGGCAATCCACCTGCAAGTGAAAAGGTGAACAATATAAAAACTTTTGTTGACAAAATAAAGCCGAAAACGAGTAATCGGCGAGCATACATAAAACAAATCGGACATATTGATAACCTTCTCCGTTTTTGGAAGTAGATTAATGAACTTAACAACATTACACTTTAGGGGTTTTAAATCAAAAAAATCCCTTCCTCTTTGTCTTTGAAACAATTGAAGAGTTTCCGAACTAACGTTCATTAAGTAAATGCATAGCTATACGAAAAGCAAAATAATACAAACTCCTTATAAATTTTCCACAATTTTCGCCCGACCTTAACAATCAGTGTATTTCAAGTTATACTTTGGAACTTTTTGGGTTTAACAAAAAAGTTTCACTAAAAAACATCGGAGAAATTGAGATCAGAGCAGTCGAAGTGAGTATATTTCATGCCCCGTAACAAAGTAAACTATTCCATTCGTCGGCTAGTTTAAATGTGAAACTGCATTATTCTCTCTCGCGTTATGGCAGCTCGTTCCAACTTTACTGGCTTTGGAATCGGTAATGAGACTTGCAACAAGGGGAGCGTATGAGGATTGTCGGCATTATAATATCTTTACGTAACACGTCAAGTCCCCGTAGCATGAGCACCACAAATTACATTATATCACGTTTTTAATCGCGTCTAACAGTCCAACTCCAAAGTAATTTGACAATTGAGCATGATAGAAATCAGCTATATATCATATTGCGGTGTTTATGCTAGAGGGACTAAATGATGTTTGAAATTATATTTAGGTCCACTTGCACCAAAGTTCTCAATGCAAATTAAGGCTTATTGCTTTAATGATGATAAATCTACATTATTCGATCTTCGTCAATTGTTTAAAGTTAAATAGAGATAGAATGTGGAGGCTTATACAGGATTAGCTTACTATAGGGATGATGATTATTTTTTTTCTTCGTTTATCAGGTAGATTATCAAAAAGTATTGGACACGTATTTTTTCTTTTTTCACATAATATAAACATTGCAGAGATATATTGATTTGAAAATTCGCATGACGTCACGTCTTACAATTAAACAAGTACAATTTTCACCCAAAAGTGACGTCACGAGTCCCTATTCCCAAACTTTGACGCGCTTTGTCATTTTTGGTTAATTGCCCAAAGAAAAAATACGTGTCCATTATTTTTTGATCATGTAACTGACGGACTAAATAGAATTTCGTTTACTGTACCCCGTCATCACCCCTATTTGAATCAAGAACTTAAATGCAAGTGCCTTATAGCTTGGGAGCTGGTGGCAGTAATTTGTATATGATTTGATCGTCTGGAAGAGGTTGATAATAGTACAGTTAAAATAATCATTTTAAACAATTTCTACCATTAATTACTTGCTGCAACATCAAAAAGGAGCTTGCGAAAATTTTTAATAAAATAAGTGTCATAAACTATATTATCGCTTCGGTCGATAGTGTTAAAAAATGTGGCATAATGGCAGAAGCTTTTCCTGCTGTGTTTTAGAGTATTTTTTTCTTCTTCTAAGTATTATGATATATCCCATTATTATTATAAAAGCGAAAGTTTGTGAATGTGTGAGTGTGTATGTTTGTTATTTCTTCACGTCTTAACGACTGGAGCGATTTTAATAAAATTTGGTATGGAGTTAGCTGACACCCTGGACTAACACATAGGCTACGTTTTACTGCAGGAAAATATCACAAATAAACCGCGGGTAACGACGCGGGGCACAGCTAGTAAAAATATAATAACTTCAACGGCAGGCAGACTAGAAGAATAATCTGTATTACTGAAAAAAAAGTAAATTATAGCATCGCTTCTGCCTTTAAGTCTACTATTTCTATTAGTTATAAGAAGCAGAACCATTGTTCTGAGAAACCTTTTTCATGAACAAGGCAAGAAAACTTGACACTGTCTTTGTGAAGGCAGCAGTATTTTACTACCTGAGAACAGCTGGAAGGGGGTACATATACACACTCACTAATATGATTTGTTCGCATGGAAAAGAAAGCTAGAAAGAATAGATGTTTTAAAACCGGAAATGAAGGCCACGAAAATAGATAACGAGAGAAATAGAGAAATATAGATGTTCCGAAACACGTTAGAGGCTCCTAACAAAATCAGAGTTGAAGATGATGATGAAGTTGTCTGCCAGCAAATATCACATTTACAAATACTATATAAAACATAAAAAAAACGACGATGGCATGATATAGCACCATTTTTTTTTACAGTTTAATAATTATTTTTATAAAAACTCCATCTTGACTTTTGCCAGCTTTAATTTCACTATTTATAAAATGTATTTAATAGATATAATTGATGACAGAAACGATACTATAATTTCAAAACTACTTGGGAAAAATAGGGATTTTAGGTAGCTGTGAGCTACCTAAACTCGCCACTTATTTTTTCTAGTTAACATAACTATATCACTTCTTGGTATCAATGACGATGAAATCATATACTTAAATTGCCGCCAGCTCACAAGGTACTTAGAATGTTATCAATTTATTATTGAAGTTTTCAATATAAAGATAAAATCACAATTTTGTTTTAAAAATATATTTGAGAAAAGTATAAACGAATTAGAGTATTTATTAAATATACGCCTATCATTTCATCCGGCACATCTATTTATAAATACAAATTTATTCCTTCAGTATAATCAAGTTGTTTGATCTAGAACGTGTGCTAATAATTGTTCCATTTATAGACAAGTGCAAGTATTTAAATCCAACATTAATCGGAATTCAGACGCAATAAAAGCTAGCAATCCAGTTTAACAGTTGCTTAAACGATTCACAAAATAGCATTTAAAGCAATAAAATCGAAATACCAGGAGTTACTGGTGAAGCTAGGTATAAGCTAAGTATGCAGGGTGTGTAGCGTGAATAATGGCTGCACAAAATATTCTACGAAAAAGAATAGAATAAAAATAGAAATTTATATTTATTTGCAACATTTTTAAATAAAGATATATTGTTATTTAAGTAGGTGTTGTTGAACTCGATGATGCACTTTAGCATTGGATGAAGATTAACGAACGACGTATCTACGTGGGAAAGTCTTTAAACTGTTTGAAGAAAAGTCAGCATACGGGAAGATAAATAGAAATCGTGAGTAAATCGAAATTAATGATGACAGAAAGAAACAGGACGATAGTGATAAATAACAAAAGGAAGGGATATTTTTCAAAATAAGACAAATAATGCATCAGCAGTAAGAAGGGACAACCTTTTTAAAAGTACCTGCATAAGTAGGTACTTCAAAAGTAACAGTACCTAATCGAAAGACCTTACATTCTTTTCAACTAAAAACCGTAGTTTATTGTTACCGCTAAAACTAGATGCGATGAAACTTTAGCGATCACAAATATATTAGACACAGCGTCTTCAAAGGACATTCGACGGGGAGATGGGGCGTGTCAAGGCAAACATAACTTCGAGTCCCGTTGGTGTTATTCGTGCGATAGACGACGCGGCGCCCGCCTCGCCACCAGACCGCTCGTAAAGATAAGTTTCACTTGTAAAGCGAAACGAAGCAAACTGCATTGAGACGTAAGAAGAACCCTCGGAGTCAAATTCGACGATTATCTACCTGAGCGCTCGCTCAACTAAGCGGCATCGTTCTTCCACTTCAACGCCGATTCTAAAATACCCATAAGCTTTACTGTATTTGCTAATAAACAAACAATATAATATGTATATGCAACCCACTACCAAATTAAATTGAAAAACTACATATGCGAAGTTCGACGATAAAAGTTCTCCAATTGTCGACACAAAGATAAACATCAGAGATTTAGTCGTCAACTAGCAGACGTCTGAAACTCTGAACGAAATTTTAGAAATAAAGACTCCGGAGAACTGCTCGAATCAGATAAATACTTGGCAACATTACGATTGGCACAAATTGTATTCATTGATTGGCTGATCAAAGAAACTTTAAAATAAATAGATGCATAATAAACTAGAGGAATATTGTATGTAGCCCTTTTCGAATCAGCTAGTAAGCCGACTGAGCTTCACAATCACAATGTTGCTGGATAAAATGGCATCTACTTTAGGTTGGACATACCATAAGCCAACAACGATAAAATTGTCATCCGCATCGAGCCAAACGCTATAAATCCAAGTTTGCTTTGCCGTAAACATAAAATATAAACGTTTATTAGGTAACACACAGTATAAAGTTCCGGAGCAAGGCCACCACGAGTAAAAGAAAATTCATGCCAAAACTTCACTATGTATAGATGTATTGTGGTAACGGAACGGTAGACAGTTTCTTGTTTTATAAACTTTGACTTAGGAATCGTTGTCCTTGTTAACTTTGCTTGAAGCCTTTTGGGTCACGAAGAATAAAATAAGGAAATGTACGGGAAAGGGTTATTTTACATTGTCCACGAACCAGGCATAAACTAACTTGCACCACAAGAAAACTTAAAAAAAGTTTTTTGTTTCCTTCAGAATATCAACAAATGTTTTATAAATTTTTGATTGAAAAATATAAATGATGATTAATAAACCTTAAGTACTTAAAGAGCTCGAAAGCGCAGGAGGTTAGCGCATTCTACTTGCGATTGCGGAAGTTAGTTGTGGAGAAAGAAGAAACTTTCGCAATTGTTCATTAATTTGATGCGTGACCACAAATGTATTATCTCAAGATCCTCCGTGTATCGGAAGGCATGTTGGTCCCGGCTGCATCTGCAGTCGCTAGCACTCTCCAATCCGCAATGGACCCGTGTGGTGGGTCACGGTAATCTCTTTATTCCATACACAGGGCAAGGCTGTGCCAGATCAGTGGGGATACTATAAGGCTGATGATGATGATGACTATAACTTGCCTTACGCAAGTCATTCTGTTTACTGGTGTGCAAGTTTTCATACTTAGTGTGACCTAAGCTGACTTCAGCACACGGCATTAACTATTTCTTTAACAAATTATACAGAAGTAAATGTGTCATATAGGTACATCTTTAATAAGTTATGACGTCAGTCTTTTGGGTTT